TACGGCGAACAAGATCTCATGTCATCAATCCAAGGTCAGCATTACATGAAGTAGGATCTGGATGACCTGGGGACTAGTCGACTGGATTTGAATGATTGGGGCAAAGACTCTTGAGATGACGCTCTAGGGGATACTGTTGACCCAAGTCGGGTCACGAACCGCCAATCTAGCTACTGCAGACCTAGATTCCATGGAGACATGATCCGATGTCACGAAGTTTAGGTGCGGATCTCGTAGACCTGCGACAGTGACAGCTTTTTAGGATATTCAAGTGTGGTAGACCATGGTGTAGACCGGTGGAATTCAGATCAAGACGGATCCTGCCTCGGCATATACGTTTTGGTAGAGATGGCCTATCTCCCGAGTCCTGGCGCCTGGCCGACCAGCCAGGAGGTGGCAGCCCAAAACTCGAGTTCGGTATTTGACCCAGACTGGGGTTAATTCTCCTGTAATAGGGGTACACCTGGTGTGGCGTACATGGTGTGAGAACGAGTTGAAGATTAGAGCCGCGTTGATAACCCGAGGTCGCCGAGGACGAAGAAGTGCGAGGTTGCGTGCGTGGAAAGCAATCCCCAAGGAAGAGCGACGTGAGGGATGAGCGCAGTGGGTGCTGCGTTGCACCTCGGAAGATAAGACAGGAACAGAAGAAATGTCCAAGGTGCCAGGTGAGTGCTCAGGAGGGAGCGTCATACATATTAGTGCGATGGGTGACCAACGTTAGCGTGTTTCATTCAGTCGTAAATCTTCCCGATAGCGTACAGATCCTAGGACAACGCTAACGTAAGTTGGAAGCGTGTTTTTACATGTATTCTTGGTTGCTATTTCCTAGATTTCACTGGCAACATTGGTCCCGAGCGTGAATCTTCCAACCCACGACCGCGCTAACTTTAACGACCCCTTATTGCTATCGGGGAGGGTGCGCGACGCCGGGACCATCAAATCTGGTGTGTATGTCGTGATTTGGAGGATCCGCTACTATCTGGCCAAAAGGCGAGAACTACACAACAGATCCGCCACGATCAAGAGCACATTGCTTCCCCTGGTCAGTTCACAGGTCCATACCACCATATCCGACAAGCTCAAAGTACTCGCTTGTGATCTGGACTCACCAGCAGAGGTAGATTAAATACATTCCCCTGCTACACTACCCAATCCCCATGTTTCGTCAGGACACCCCTATTTTACCACTTGACCCTCTCTGCAGTTACCAGAGGAGTAAGATCCCGCCCTGCCGCCCTGCTGATTCTACACAAGTGATATTTTTTGTGTGTGCAGATAATGTAGCATCTGCAACTGTCTCTGTTCGTCGGCGTCTGGGTGTAGGTCGAAAGTGGGTGTAGGTGGAAAGTCGGATCCAGCATTCTCGCAGATTTTGTTGATTCGACTGCACCATCCTGCTCCAGGCGCCACGCATTACCCCTACGAGAGCTCTGTGTACCAGAAGATGTGGACCATTATGTTTGGTTTAGAGGAGCTCTTAACATATCTCAAACAAGTAACCTATTCTTTTATCCTGTTATATACAGGTTATAAATTATTACCTCGACCAACACACAGTAGGTAAGATCATTTGGATAATTCACCGTTAACTCCGCCCATGAAAGTCTGATAGTTCTTTAAAAATGTTGGGGCTCGCCTTCGTTGCGTCCTTCACCATACCGTCCGGCCGGGCCACATAATCGTGCTTAACGTTGCAATCAGCGCACACTTGATGATCCAATCGGTTGCCACACCGGCCCACTGCATGTAAACTGGATACTAGCGTTTACCGACGGACAATGTAGATATCGCAGCGACTTTTTATGCAAAAAAAACACATGTATGGGTCTCAGAATCATGACATTTATTATTGTGCGGGTATTAGCACTTGCGGCTCCTAGTGTGAGTACAAGAAGCACGATACATACTTCTTTGCTGTGTACTGGTCGTGTGGATATCAAAGATACGTCCAAACGGATTCTCTGTATTCTCTCTGCCGCCGCCAGCTCTAGAGGTTTCTTCATAATACATGCTTGTCATGGGCCAATGGTTTGTGCTTTGAAAACTAAACAATGATGGGTCAGTGCTGTGGTCGTCAGGATTAACGTTCACAGGGTATGAAGTTGATGTATGGTTGTTATAGTGATTTTTGGTTTTCAAAGTGCGTCAGGGCATATTCAATTTCAAATAGTTGATCGTGTCCTGTGTGATTTATATTGTCATATTCACTAAACCCGAATTGTTCTTCAACTCCAGCATTCAACTCAGTGGGCTCAAACTGGAAACAAAATCCGCTGAATCTGGAAAAGTCCTTGGAATGGAAATGCTATTATGTAATTCATGTTCTGCTCGGCTGGAGGGCAATGCAGCCATGGACCGTACACTTGCCTGCGACAAACCGTTTGCACAGTGTCTTCATTTCCCTGTAGATTAGGAGACATGACAATATCCACTGAGATACAATATGATCTATTATTGTGAATGAAAGAATCACAAAAGCCGATGCTGCGCGCCACGAAGCTAGAATGGATGGCCTTTTCCTCAGGTAAATATCTTCATTTCGAGCATAATTCATGTTATTCAGGTCGCGAAATATCATGTCTATAGTCACGCGCTCCAACTTCCCTTTAGATCGATCTTTCACGTTTTGACACATGTCAAACCAGCACATCACTAACTGGGAGCGTAGTAACGCAACGCTACACGTGAATTGTTCGTAATCCGCGTCAGACATCACCAAAACCGGCGAATAGGTAACCAAAACACCCCTAGAATAAAGGGCTTTGTAAACGCAATGAACCACTCAACATCGCTTCCTTTCGGTTGCGACGTACAGAACTTCCCCCGACAATCTTAAAATCCAAATACGAATACAGGCAATTTTTGCTTGGCTATACTATGGTTGATGTCAATATGGAGTATTGTAGTAGAGAGTCGATCCCTTCGCACATTAACATGCGTTATTAGTAATGAATAACAAGTGACGCCAATACGTAGTGCAACAAACCCGTCCCCCACGGTAGGATCCAAAATGTTGTCGTCGTGCTGGGAGTCACAAAGTATTATCATTCTCTTGGGATCGTCAGGTATATTTTCCAAATTACCGTGCATATACAGGCTACAAAGGTCAATCCCTGGTTGAGTTGCATCTCTGTGAGCCTTGTGCTATTTATTTGGTAGGGCTCTGTACTTAATTATGTAGAGGCGGAGGACCTTCGACCATGAAACCGGATATTTTCTTGTAAATAAGGCCAAACAGAGCCACATGAGTAATCGATGCGCATTCGGCGAGAGGCTCGTCAATGCAGTTAATGCACTTCTTCTTGTTAGTCGTCAATACTGACAGGTTTATTGATGGAGATAGTGCAGTTGTATCTAACATTTATGGTCGTCATCGACCGATACAGTTGCCAAAATGCTCGTTTTACACGTTAATACATGGTATTGACACGGGCATTCTACATCGGTCAGATTACATCGCTCTGGCGTTCCCTTCGTCATAATTCTGCGCATGATGTGTCGTGTCATCAGTGTTTTGTCATCATCAAACCGGGCATGGTCCAACGTGCATCTATCTGTTGTATTTCGTTGACGAATACGACTTGGCAGCGAACCCACAAATTCATCCAGTGTCATCTCGCAATTCGTGACTGAATTTCATATCTCTATCCACGGTATTCTCCTTCCACGGTACTTGCATTTGATGTTAACATGACTGTCGGTTGGACGGTACGATGATTTTGCGAGTTTGATTGTGACATGACAGACGTGATACCAGTTCGTGTGCTTATGCAAAAACTTTTGGACGGCGTCATGCGACCCCATTCTATCGAATAACTTCGCCGATCCACCAAGCCACTTTACGTGGGATCTACTCCACGTTAACATGCACAAGCACAGACAACTATATAGACGTTTGCGAGCCGCAGGGTTTACAATTATGGAGGCTCCTCCAAAAGTATTACCTTACAACACACTTCCGAGCGAACACAATACTATCTGTGACGTCTGTACAACCCTGAGCTAAAAGACAAAGGTAGAAGATATCTGGTGCCCGCTGAGCAAGCGCAGTCAAATCGTTGAGGTAAATGTAACGCGGATCTAAGGATCATTTCGATTAGCTATCAAGGCTTACTGCAGACACTAATATTATTTCAATTTACCGAGATCTGTTCTTTGTTAGTGATGTGTACAAAAAATACGTTTTGCAACTACCGATGGTCGCACGGTGATCATCATGGACTTCAAACCGCGAACACAAATGTGCGTTCGGTCCAGTTGATGAAGCACTAACTGATATAAATGAGACACTGAGGATCGAGTCCAAACGAAGAGA